AAGAAGAAGAAGAAGAAGAAGAAGAAGAAAGAAGAAGAAGACGAAAGAAGGAAGAAGAAAGAAGAAGACGACGAAAGAAGGAAGAAGAAGAAAGAAGGAAGAAGAAGAAAGAAGAAGAAGAAGAAGAAGAAGAAAGAAGAAGAAGACGAAAGAAGGAAGAAGAAAGAAGAAGACGACGAAAGAAGGAAGAAGAAGAAAGAAGGAAGAAGAAGAAAGAAGAAGAAGAAGAAGAAGAAGAAAGAAGAAGAAGAAGACGAAAGAAGGAAAAAGAAAGAAGAAGATGACGAAAGAAGGAAGAAGAAGAAAGAAGGAAGAAGAAGAAAGAAGAAGAAGAAGAAGAAGAAGAAAGAAGAAGAAGACGAAAGAAGGAAGAAGAAAGAAGAAGACGACGAAAGAAGGAAGAAGAAGAAAGAAGGAAGAAGAAGAAAGAAGAAGAAGACGAAAGAAGAAGAAGAAGAAAGAAGAAGAAAGAAGAAAGAAGGAAGAAGAAGAAGGAAGAAGGAAGAAGGAAGAAGAAGAAAGAAGAAGAAGACGAAAGAAGAAGAAGAAGAAAGAAGAAGAAAGAAGAAAGAAGGAAGAAGAAGAAGGAAGAAGGAAGAAGGAAGAAGAAGAAAGAAGAAAGAAGAAGAAAGAAGAAGAAAGAAGAAGAAGAAAGAAGGAAGAAGAAAGAAGAAGAAAAATATGCCGATTTTTCTCTCAGAAATTTTAGTTGCTCCGTAGGAAGCTTTAAGAAAGAAGGATTTCCCAGAGGAAATCGACTTTTGAGGACAGTCAGGAAGAAGATGAGGCAGAAGACCAACTTCCAAGCCAAAGGAAGTTGACCAACTTCGAGGCCACACGATTGCAGACATGTCAGCCTCACCTCTTGTATCACCACCAAAATGAGGTAGAGGTTTTGAATGTGGAAGCAGGTTGGACAGAGCCCCTTTGAGTGGGAACACCCACATTTTTTTTGGGCTGTGGATAATGCTAACCACATCCTTGCCTACGAGAGGGCTTCTCCAAATAGATCCTGTGGTTCACTGTGACAACTGAGAGGAGGTGAGAGATTGTTTTGATGTCCACAAGCAGAAGGTTCTCCATGCTAACTAGGAAAGCCACTTTCTGCCTCCCATCCAGGTGATCTGGATCATCAGGGGCATGAGAGGGGTGAAGGATCCAGGATCCTTGACCAATGGGCAGACCAATCTAAAGCAGAACCTCATTCAGCTCACACATACAACGAATGATGATGGCTCTGTGTTGAAGCATCTGATCTCCTACACCTTTCTCTCCCCACCTTTTTTCTGGGGGAGGGGAGAGCTACTAAGCCTCAACTCCCATGTCCAAACATCCTTTGAGCCCACATCTTCAGTAACACACCATGCACCTTCACCCGTCTGACTTGCAACTTGGAAGTCCATGAAACGGTGGCTCCTCAGCGGCGGTGAGATGAAGAACCAACCTCATTCTTGACAGCCTCAGGAGCAACCCAACTCTGACCACTCTCCAGAACTTCCTGGTGCTCCGTTCCAAAGAGTTCTCACATGCAGCCACCCCCCCCTCCCGTTCCTGCCCCCCAACCCTTCGCTCACCCACTGATGATTTCCTTGTTCTCAGCTCGGATGAAGTGCTCCTTCTCCGGTGTCAGGATACACAGCGAGAACTTCTGCCCACTCCGGTTCTCTCCATCCACAACATCTGTACACTGGTTCATGTTGATGGTTCCTTGTGGCAAAGTGGTGGGCTGGAAAATAAGTGGAGAACGATGAGCAAGTAAGAAGAGAAACTATGGAATGACAACCCTTACAAGTAGTCCTCAAATTATGGTCAATCATTCAAGTAAGTTGACCAAATTTGGCTNAAATGAGATCCCAGATTGTTGGGGGCAAGAACTGACAGCAGTTCGATCCTGACCGGTTCAAGATTAACTCAGGCTTACATCTATCTGATGTCCGTAAAATGAGGTCCCAGATTGTTGGGGGCAAGAAGGTAACTCTGTAAATTACTTGGAGAGGGCTGAAAAGCCCTATGAAGCGGTATGTAAGTGCCATTACTATTGCTCATCTTGTTCAACAAGCCCCAAAGGCATTCCCAAAGCCGCAAGCGAGCACCAGCCTGAGGTCAGCAAGCCACCCATCACCCCAGCGGCGACCTAATACGTCCCCCCCAAAAAAACAATGCCAGCTCTGCTATTGTTTATGCCTCTGAACGATGCCAGGTCTTCTTCAGACCACATCATCACGGGCTCAGCAAGCAAACAACTCTCCAAGGAGGGAAGGGGGGGGGGGCAATTACCAAGAGGTGGCAAAGCAACCCATCAGAGAACCAGCCGATCCTGCTGAGCAGGTTAGATGCAGTTCCACACTTGCCCATCTCTCTTGTCGCGGTGTGTGTTTGCACTTCCATTGCGTCTTGCGTTTATCCCTTTCAGGATTGACAGGTTTTTTTAGCAGCAAGCACAACATAAATTAGACAGTGGCAATGCCACCCCACCACAATCTCCTTTAGATCTTCGTGTCTGGGCCTGGGACCAGGCACAGGGCTTCCTCTTTGCTCTGTCGCAGCCTTCTTGGCTCCGTAGTCTCCCAGCCCTGAGACGTCCGTCTGTATTTCGCTTCTAAGCCAACACGGGTCAGATTCAAAGCCACGCGAGAAAACTAAGAATAATCTGCAGCTTCCTGATGCTGTCAGCCTGGGGGTTGGGCACCCTCGAGGCTGGCAGGATCTATTTGTGAGCTGTTTGTTTATTTACGAAAACCAAGCTCTGCCAAGCAAGATTAATCCAAATCTTCTTGCCTCTTTAAACAAGAAGCATTTAACTGAATTTGGGCTCCAATGTTAGCTTAGCCAAGGAAGCTTGCTTCTCCCTTACACTTTTCTGGCTGGGATAAACAAAGGCAACTTCCTTTGAATGTTGAATTCACACACACACACACACACACACACACACATTTGCTCTGGCTACCTTCACAGATCTTTTAGGGATCTCCATGTCTACCCTGAGTCTCCTAAACTTCTAATCATCTCCCTTCCAAATGCTAATCACTTTGCTCTTCATTACATTTCTGAGATCAACCAAAGTTGGCTAGTAAGCAGGTCAAAGAATTATTTTGCTCTACCTGCCCAGAAATGTGTGATCAGGGCAGTTGGGATCTCCCTATTAAACCCTCCTAATTGCTCCATGCTACCTACTTTTCAACCCCAGGACATATTGTAGCTCAGTAGGAGAAGGAGAAGGAGGAGGGGGGAGAGGAGGAGGAGGAGATGGTGGTGGTGGTGGTGGAGGAGGAGGAGGAGGAG